AAAAAAACAACATAAATAAATTATTCAGCGAAAATGTATTGTAACTTAATCGATTCCCTATTGAATATAGAACTACGAACTTTTGTCAGATGTATGAAAAACCTATCATTCATAATATTTAATGATGATTGATAGATTATCGAATTTAAATGAAGTACACAGTAACTAGTCGTTATACGTCATAATAAAAAAATTTGAAATGAATGATTAATTTTCTTACCGATACTAAATTTAATAATTTGTACAATAATATTTGTTGCATTATGATCTTTACCAGTAACAATATCATAAAAAATTAGAAAGATTACAAATGCAGAACCATCATTTAGTAATGATTCAGAATCGATTAGCGAAGCTAATGATCGACTTGCACCGGAGTCATGTAATAAAGCGACGACAGCAATTGGATCAGTTGCACTTAAAATACTTCCAAACATAAGACCAATTAACCATGACCAGTTATATGGAAATATATAAATTCCACATAGTGCAATAATTACCGTTGAGATAAAAACACCAGGCCCAGCCATAAGTATTGCTGATAATAATTGTTGTTTAATAACATGAAAATGACCATTAAATGATGAATCAAATATTAATAATGGTAAAAAAATATAATACATTAAATGAGGATTTATTTCACTTAATTGTATTTCACCTAATATAAAATTATTATTAATATTTTTGAATTGTGTTACGATGATACCAATTAGAAATCCAAATATAAGTACAGCGACAGTAAATGGAAGTGGAATTTTATTTTTTAATATTTTTGCAAATATTATTTTACTTATACAGGCTGATAGGACAGAAAATGATAGAAATAAAATAACTGAACTTTTTTTTGATGTTTCATTTTCATAATGAGAATTTGTTGAATTTATATCTAAGCTCATCTAAAATAGAATTGAATATTTGAATATATATTCGTTTTGTAGTTCTTTTTGATAGTTATAAATCTGATACGTCAATAATAGTCATGCGTAAAAAGAGAATTTATTTTAGTATATCACAAAGACGGACAATGATTCACACTATAAAATATGATCTACCAATCGAATATAAATCTAGTGATAGTGAAAAACTATCTATTAGTAGATGATGATAATTCGCGTATGTTTAATTAACAAAAATCGATAGAAAATGACTTACCTTTTTATAATCTTTCTTTCTTTAGTGATAAATGAGCCATATCATTTAGGATATTATGATATTTATGAACAATTATCTTTATCATAACTCAAATGTGTATCTTCACTATTATATAACTACAGTATCCCTTGTCGAAATAAATTCTTTTTTTTCTTCTTGATAATAACAATATGATTAATCTTGTTTTATTATATTTTAAATTTTCATAAAATATTAGAAATACAAGTAATAAATAACGTTAAAAGATTCTTATTATGATTTTATTAGGCTGTTAATGTTTGATATCACATATATCATTAATCGTAAGAAAATCTTTAATTGCTCATGTTGTGATTCATTTAGTAAATGAATATTTCGTTTGTCTTGCAGAGACACAATATCTTCTCGTCTTTTATAACAATTAGTTGACATAAAATATTCTTTACTTGATTTCGATCTTTGCCAATATGAATAGCAAAAATGAACGATATGAGTTTATAGAATGAAGTATATCAAATTTATGTTATATCAAATTGAGGTATAATATAATAAAAAAGAGAAGAGACAAAAAGAAACAGCAAGAAAATGATTTGAAACAAACAGTCATACGGTCGATTTCACATTGATAAAAATTTAGGTTATTGAAGAAGCAAACAATGATATCTTTCTCTTCCAAGTCGGACACGTTTCATTCGAAAAAAAAGTATCATTGTAAAAAAATAGGACGAGGTAGATCAGATTTTTTTCTTTATATATATTTTAACATATTTTTTTAGTGACTTTTTATTAATTACTTATCTCTATGAATTTTAAGTAGAGTTGGATAAAATGGAAATATTTATGCAAAATATCGAAGACTATAAACGAAAAAAAAACATCCTCGTAACACCTCGTTTGAAAAGTTTTATTTGTCTCTATTCATTTTCATATAGTAACAGTTCTTTGTACGTTGGCAAGAAAGTATATCAATTATTAGTGATAGTAACACCGTATACGTCCAAGTAAAGTCTTGTACTAACGCTTTAGACACATTAATCAATTGTTTTCATTTCTGAGAATGATTAGCTATTTTAATCCTTTTTTCTTCGAAAAAATTAATCGATAGTTTAATTTCTCGGCATATTGAAATTGTTAGTAAATATGTGACTAAAATAAGTTTCTATATATACAAGTAGATCATTATGATAGACAAGGAATAAAAATGAACTTAGATGTTCTTTCTAACATAACTTTTTGAAAGTACTTTGAATATTTAGCTAAGAGTGAGTTAGATCTACTATGACCACAACAGGGTACGTCTGATTTTAGTTTATTTAATATAATTATTTTGGCTAGCTTCCAGTGTGATTAGAAAATCACATACTACATCGAAGTCAGATGATTGTTTTCAGTCTAATGTTGATATGTATTTCTATAACCTTCATTATTTCTAGTGGCATCAGTATTTTTTCTCCGAGCTACTTTCGAAAAGGGTAGTGATCTGTTTATAGACCTGAGAGAAGTGTTTGTTCTAATGTCTTTTTTGAATTTTCAGCCGAAATTCTTGATATTTATCTGACTTGTTACTTTTTCCAGTTGTCAGAATTTTTCTATGCAGATCTTTTTTAAAGTATACGTAAATAAATTAAATATTTACTGCCAAATGATAACCTTTCAAATGTATAGAATAATATTCAACGCTTGAATTTTAATAAGTGTCTCAGTTTCTTTTGATAACTCATTCTAACATCAGATTTATACTGAATAAAATATTTGCGATAATCTTTGAAAAAAAAGAATCGTGATACATCTATTTGTAGTCACGTGTGTCATGACCGCTTTGATAACCAATAAAATAAGATGAGATATTGATACGTTAATCGAGTATATGTATGAATCATTCAGGTATCATCATAACACAAAATCCATGAGTAAATAAATCGTCATTAGTAATTTATCGCGTGTCTTCATTATTTATTCTTATATTCCTCTACATTAATCTGAAGATACAGATTTTTATGGCTGACCTTTAAATATTTTTTCTATTCATTTAGTAAGAACTATATTTAAAATATAGATACAAATGGATTCTGCAGTAAGTAAACATTGTATAGCAATATGTGATCAAAAAGAAAAAATTTCAGCTGAAGAACTTCAATCTTTATTTAATTTAATTGTGGTTGAATTAAATAATAATAATAATCATTCGATAATTGATGATTATATTCAAATAATTGATACATTAAAAAATATTTATAGTTTAACATTAATTGATCCATTAATTGTTAATAATGAACTTTTTCATTTGCTACGAAATTATTTAACTGATATATTAAATAAATGGTCCAGTGATATTATTTTAACCGACAAAGATGAATATTTATTTCAAGAAATTGTTGAACTCTTTTCTAAAATGATAAAACATATAAAAACCACGAATCAAGTTTTAACATCAACATTTCAAACGTGGTTTTTAAATGAATTATTTTTTAAAGCAATAGCTTCTCTTTTAGAAGATATATCCATAAATTCTTCTAAATATTCAAATCAAAATCAAAATATAGAAAGTTTAAGTACTCTCATTCAATCAATTCGATTTTTTCAAAGTGGTTTCGATTGTATTAGAAATAATCCTAATGTATTACTATTAATTGATCCTATCATACATTGTCTTTGTTCTTCAACTTATATCAATACATTCAAACAAATTAATATTAAATCAGATACTCAAAATCCATATGAAGAATTTATTCTTGAAATCTGTCCATGTTATTGTATTTGGTATAGAGGAAAATCTCAATTAACAATTATTAATCAGCTATGTTTAAATAATATGTTAAAGTCTTATCAAGAAGTTTATGAACTATTTTTACCAACAATTAATCAATGGGGATATTCAGTAATGCAATCAATGTTTTATATGACAGCATTATTACGTTATGTTGCCTATTATCCTTCAACACAACAATATTTAATAAATAATTTAAAAATTATTGATTCTATATTAATTCTATTAAATAATTGTACTTTATTAGATAATATACTAACAGCAACAGAATATAATTCGAAAACAAATTTAACTGATTCAGCTATTTCATTTATATTTAATTTATCACATGATTTTCAATTTTTAACATTAATTAAAGAAAATTCATATTTTTCAAAAGATATTTTTCTTAAATTAAAACATGCAAATATTGATCGAGTTAAATTACATGCTTTTATGATTTTAGCAAAAATACTGAACGAAAAAGATATTCTGAATTTAGATAATATTGATGTATTAACGACTGTTTTTATTAGTTATTTATACAAAGCAATTAATGATCCATGTCATAGTTTTCAAGATGTTCCAGTAGAACATTTATTGACATCTTTAAAAGGTATTAGTTTATTTTTGTTGGTTCATTTTCAATAAAATATAATCATTGATTTCATATATTTAGCATTTGTTCAACATGATGAAATAAAAGATGGGATTGCTAAACAAAATTATTTTGAAATTCTGATTCGTTGTGCAACTCAAACAGATCTTCATGTTGGTTTAGTTCTACAAACTTCATTAGAAATTATTTGGAGTTTAACATTTAATAAGAAAATTCATCAACTACTAATTACTTCCTATGATAATTTCATCAGATATTTAAAAACTGTTCTTGTTCATTCAACCGAACAAGGTGTTCAAGCAGCAGCAAAAGGAGTTTTATGGAAATTAGAAAATGAATTAATTATTACAAAGCAACTTCTTGATAAAAATGAAAATACAATCAATAATGAAGAAAAATATGATATCATGATAAGTTATAGTCATTCAAATTATCGCGTTTGGTTAGATTTTTGAAAATATGTATGGAAGTACATTACAATCAATGGCTACAGCTATTGAATTATCTGATATGGTTTTTATTTGCATGTCTAATCCATATAAACAAAGTGCTTATTGTCGTTCAGAAGCTGAATATGCATATACACGACAACGTCATATAATTCCTTTAGTTATGGAAAAAAAATATCGTCCAGATGGATGGTTAGGAATCATTTGTGCTTCGAAAATGCATGTGGATTTTACTAAAACTGATTATGAACAAGCATTGCAAAAATTAATTTCACAAATTCAACTTTATCGACAACGAACATCAATCAATACATTATCTTCTCCAACAATAAAAGATAAGAAAAATGAAATACTTACTCATGATAATAAAACTTCAGCATCCGTTAAAAATCAAGAAAATACATGTAATGAGCAAACTCAAGTGGAAAAATTCGTAAGATTTACTTTCATCTCACATATATATATCAATAGCTACTAGGACTATTGACAAAATACTTGAGATTCATAATACAGAATTAGCAAGATCATTAGTTGTGTTACCAGTTAATCGAAACTGATGACAAAACTTTCGATCGATTTCTTGGTATAAATCCTGATTCAATCTATCGAAAGCTAAAATAATAATAAGAAAAGAAAAATCAGTAAGATTCATTATAGAACAACTCCCTCTACGTCTTCGAGAAGATCATTTTTATTTATGAAGCTTTCTATCGAAACCAAGTTAATTAATTCAGATTGTATCGAGTATTTTGAAAAATATATGAACGATTCTAAAACAATACATCCTCATACATCACTGAATATATAGGCAGATAGATTTTTTAGATAAAATAATTCATTATCAATTTAAAGATTATATTTTTATTTTATATATTTACATAGGAAAGATTATCAAGTATTGAAAATAGTTATAATGATCGATTTATTGAATGGTGGACACATGAAGATGTTTTAAATTTTTTACATGATAAACGTTTAGATGTTATAAGAACTTTATTTGAGTATGAGCAACAATTTGATGGTCATTCATTGTATATATTATATAAACAGTGTCAATCAAATACACAGTCTACTTATCAAGTATTGAATACACAATTAAATCAACTTCATGATCGAACTTTACCATATTTTACCTATATTCATTTTGTTAGTGAATTAGAAAAGCAATTTAATCCAGTTGATATAAAACAATATATTCGTTATCTTCTATGGATTATTTATGCAAAAATTCGACAAAAACTTTTTTGAAAAATATTAAATAATTTATATCGTATTAAAATACAAAAGATGTGTTTATTACACCCAAATTGAAATAAACTTCAGTAGCGTCTAATCTATTATATTCGGCAGTTATTCTTTTGACATTTTTGATAATAAATATCATTGTTAGTGAACTAGGTACTAGTTGAACTAATTTCATTCGACTTCTAAAACCATATGATTAAAACTGAAATGCATTTAAAATCATATAAATTAGTCGAGATGAAATTTTCATATTATAACGAAGGTTTATTTTGATATTCCTAGTAGAATAAAAACTGCAGCACTTTTACTTACAATGTTGCTGTTTCTCAAAAAAACAGAAATACACATTTCTTTCAAAATTTCTGCAAATAATCGCACCTGAAAACAAATTCAATATTTCAGACGAATTCATCGAACAGCAGATGCAGTTATAGTAAAATTCGTCAATCATAGAAGTAATAATCATATTCTTTTCCTCGATTCACGTATCTCACTGTTTTATGCGAGTGAATTCTGCACCATTTTATAAAATGTGTGTTCAGTTTTACGATCTAATGACAACATAGATTTTCAACAAGAATAAATAAAAAGAGAATCTTTCAGCTCTTATTGATTATAACCGAGAACGCAGTATTTATGTCTATTATGCACCATTTTATATCGATAAAACAGTCTTAACAGAAATGTTGCTGACAATTTTCATGACAATTCTGTTAGCGGGTAAATCGATCTAACGGACCGGAACTAAAACGTTTGCATTATTTTCCCAAAACGATCCAACATATATATTGAACAACTCACGGAAAATTCAGCGACTGATAAAGGAAAAAAACACCTGAACACTGTCAGAAGAGAACGTTTGGAAAATACAAGCAGACGAAAAAACGAAAAGAAAAATCCTATATATGTATGACATCTGTATGATAAGAAGGAAAAGAAAATCCTATCTATACATATATATATCGTATAAGTTATCTATACGAGAAGAGAGAAAAGAAAAGTAGAAGAAAAAAGGATATATCCCAATAACATTATGACCAATTCTGTTATTCTCTAGGTTGACATCACGCTTTTTCATTCTTTTGTCTTCCAACAGGTAATTGCACAATTGTGTGAAACCAATCACAAAACAAATATTTACTCATTTAATCTGAAGAAAAAACAACAACACATCATATAAACAACATATAACGATACGCAGCACGCATTTCGTTAACAATCTATCATGGCAAATCAAACTGTCGCCAGTTTTCTTACATTACCGGTAGAACTGGTTTACCGAATACTGGACCATCACTCCGTTTTCACCATTCTATGCTCAATGAGAAACGTATGTCAAAGGTTCAACAGCATTGTCGACAGTTATTATAGATATCAGGTAATTTTTTTAATATCGTGATAGTTCAATTTTTATTTATCCATTTTCGAATTAATTTTTCATTCCAACAATCTTTATGCAACTAGAATGACTCTAATAAAAAATACGTGAATACACTATTAGTCACTCAAAAGAATTACTAAGCTATCCCTACCTCCTCAAAAATTCATTTCTTATATTATGACTATATGAAGAATAGTGCCCTGATAATCAGAAAGAATAGTTCTTTTTTCTTTCTTTTTAAGTTCATCTAAATATTCCATGTTTTACACTAGGCATGGTGTCATAAACATACAATGTCTAGATAAGAACGACAAAAAAACGAACAAAACATTCTCATTTGCTTTTTACGAGTATCGAATCACATTTTGTTTAATTATCATTTCGATGATAAAAAACAGCTTTTGACAAAATTAACCGTCACTAAACTAGTATATCCTGTTATAAATGACGTCCTCGACATTTCTCTGAGAGATACCTCCGATCATTTCGCCTTTGAAAGCATGCCTGTCTATCGGTACAGGTGACGGTAGCTGTGGATGAAGAGAACATTGACTGGCAATTACATCCACACTCTCATCCGATGACATCACTCACATACATACTATCAAGGTGGAATATTTCTTCAAGAAAAACGACTTCTACAGTGAATCTTTTCCAGCGTAATTGCTCGAAAACAGATTTTACTAAAACCACACTTTCTCAACGATAAAATTTTCGGACTATTTCGTCAACACTATTTTCTTATATGAAGTTTTAGTACGCATTCATCTTCTACTTATAAAGACTACAATAGTATCGAGTAAATTGTTTAACTTTTCACTTTTGATAAATCAGTGTTGCTTTATGAACACATTTGTATGGTGGCATCGAATGCAACTATCGAAATCTATATACATACTCACTTACGTAAATCATAGCATCAATAAGACCGGATTTCATAACTTACACGGAAATCTGAAGGAACTTATGAACTATTTTTCATTGACAACAGATTTTTCTTTCTTTCAAAAACACTTCGAAATTACAACGACTAATACAGAACAACACTTCTACCACTAGTTCACGCGTCCTAACTCCTTTTCAGTCTGAATTTCTATAAACTATCATTCCATACTACACAACATCTACAATCCTATAAGTACTCATATTAGTATCCATGAGCTATATAACAAAACTCGAATAGCACTCGTTTCACAGCTCTAACCCGATAAAACACGCATCCACTATTCTCTATCTTCGTCTATACCGTATGCTTACCTTCATCTTCTCGTCTAGAAGCTCACTACACTAAATCTCTGGTGCAATCAAATCGGAGATGTACAAGCACAAGCCTTGGGTGATGCATTACAACACAATACAGTAACCTGCACCTTCCCTTTTTCAATATTATGCCTTTACCTCCATTCTTCTATCTAGACACTCACCACACTAAATCTGCAGAACAATCGAATCCGAAATGTTGGAGCACAATCTTTGGGTAATGTTCTACAACACAACACGGTAGTTCTCACTTTCTTTTTATCTAAACTATATATTTACCTCCATTTTTTCGTCTAGAGCCTCACGACACTAAATCTCTCGCACAATGAAATCGGAGATGCGGGAGCACAATCTTTGGGTTATGCATTACAACACAACAGAGTAACTCTCATTGTCTCTTTTTTATACAATGCTTTTACCTTCATTTTTCCATCTAGACACTTACAACACTATGTCTCGGCAACAATCGAATCGGACATATTGGAGCAAAATCTTTGGCCGATGCACTAAAACACAACATGGTAACTTTCGTTCTCTTCTTATCGAAACTATGTCTTTAACTCCACTTCTTCAACTAGAAACTCACAACACTAGATCTCTGGAACAATCAAATCGGGCATGTAGGAGCACAATCTTTAGGTGATGCCTTACAACATAACACAGTAAGTCGCATCTTCTCTTTTTCCATACCACGCCTTTACCTCCATTTTTCATCTAGACACTCACCACACTAAATCTCAGGTACAACCAAATCGGAGATGTAGGAGCGCAATCGTTGGGTGATGCATTACAGCACAACACAGTAGCTTTCACTATCTCTTTATGTATATGATTTGTTTACCTATACGTCTTTATCTAGATACTCACAACACTAGATCTCTCGTCCAATAAAATCGGAGATGTTGGAGCACAAGGCTTGGGTGATGGTCTACAACACAACACAGTACCTCTCATTCTCTCTTTACGAAAACTATGTCTTTTCCTACACTTTTTCGTCTAGACACTTATCACACTAAATCTTTCGCACAATGAAATCGGAGATGTTGGAGCACAATCTTTGTGTGATGGATTACAACACAACACAGTAAGTCGCAGCTTCTTTTCTTCCAAACCATGCCGTTACCACCATTTTTTTATCTAGACACTCACCACACTAAAATTCAACGAAAACAGAATCGGAGCTGTTGGAGCACGATCTATGGGTGATGCATTGCAACACAACACAGTAATTCTAATTCTCTCTTTGTAGAAACTATGTCTTTAACTCCATTTTTGTATTTAGATACTCACCACACTAGATCTCTCGGCCAATGGAATCGGTGCTGTTGGAGCACAATCTTTGTGTGATGGATTACAACGCAACACAGTAACTATATCCTTTCTTTGTCGAAAAGGTGTCTTCACCTCTATTTCTTCATCTAGAGACTCACCACATTACAACTCTGGCACAATGAAATCGGTGCTGTTGGAGCACAATCTTTGGGTGATATATTAAAACACAACACAGTAACTCTCAGTCTTTTGTTGTCCAGCTGATACCTTTGGCTGCAATTTTTTATCTAGACACTTACTACGATAGATCTATTATCTAATCAAATTGGAGATGTTGGAGCACAATATTTGGGTCATGCATTACAACACAACGCTGTAACTTCCATTCTCTCTTTATCTAAACTGTATCTTTACCTCCACGTCCTATCTAGATACTCACAACACTGTGTATCACGTACAATCAAATCAAAGATGTTGGAGCACAATCTCTGGCTGATGGATTACAACACAACACAGTAAATCACATTTTCTCTTTTTTCATACCATGCCGCTACCTCTATTATTTATTTAGACACTCACGACAATAAACCTCGAGGGAAATCAAATCGGAGATGTTGGAGCGCAATCGGTGGGTGATGCCTTACAACACAACACAGTAAGTCTTATTTTCTCTTTTTCCATACCATGTCTTTACCTCCTTTTTTTCATCAAGGTACTCACCACATTAAAGCTGGACAACAATCGAATCGGGCATCTTGGTGCACGATCTTTGGGTGATGGATTACAGCACAACACAGTAACTCGCATTTTCTCTTTTCATGTACGATGCTTTTACCTCCAATTTGTCATATAGACACTCACTACACTAAATCTTTCGTGCAATCGAATCAGCGATGTTGGAGCACGATCTTTGGGTAATGGCTTACAACACAACAGAGTAGCTTTCATTATCTCTTTATGTATATGATTTGTTTACGTATACGTCTTTATCTAGATACTCACAACACTAGATCTCTCGTCCAATAAAATCGGAGATGTTGGAGCACAAGGCTTGGGTGATGGATTACAACACAACACAGTAACGCTCATCGTCTCTTTTTCCATATCATGCCTTTATTTCCACTTTTTCATCTAGGGACTCACAATACTAGATCTCTGGAACAATCAGATCGGAGATGCTGGAGCACAATCTTTGGGTGATGCACTAAAACGCAACACGGTAATTCTCATTCTCTTGGTATCGAAATTGTATCTTTAGCTCCACTACTTCATCTAGAAACTTACCATGTTGCATCTGAACCATAATCAAATCCGAGATGTTGGAGCGCAATCGTTGGGTGATGCATTACAACACAACACAGTAACTGTCATTCTCTCTTTTTCGATACCATGCCTTTACTTCCAATTTTTTTATGTAGACACTCACTACACTAAATCTGCAGAACAATCGAATCCGAAATGTTGGTGCACGATCTTTCGGTGATGGTCTACAACACAACACAGTAGCTCTCACTCTCTCTGTATCTAAACTATATCTTTACCTCCAATTTTTCGTCTAGAGTCTCACGACACTAAATCTTTCGTACAATGAAATTCGAAATATTGGAGCACGATCTTTAGGCTATGGATTACAACACAACACGGTAACTCTGATTTTCTCTTTTTCCATATGATGCCTTTACCTCCACTATTTCATTTAGACACTCACAACAATAGATCTCTACAAAAATCGGATCGGAGATGCAGGAGCACGATCTTTGGGTGATGCGTTACAACACAACAGAGTAACTCATATTCTCTTTTTTTTTCCATAGCATGGCTTCATCTCTGTCTTCTTATTTAGACGCTCACCACACTAAACCTCGCTGGAAATCAAATGCGGCATGATGAGTTGGGTATAATTTATGAATTGATTGAAGAAAATAGAAAAAGGAGCGAATCGTGGATGGTACTATCAAATGTATTTTGATTATGATCTAGTCGGTGGTAATCATCATGCCAGAGTTTTTTTTGTTTTAATTTCTAGAGAAACTAAATAAAACTGCTTGATTTCAAATTTAATCTTTATTGTGGTGATAATGGTTGCTTAACAACTTTGAGTTTTTGATGATGGGTAAGATACTGATCTGAAAACATAGAGATTTTGCAGAAGTATTTTGTTAGTCTGTAGTGCTCGCAAAACTAAGACTGGTTTGTGCTTAGCTATAATAGCACTCCAGAAAGGTTGTTTTATGTGGTGCTTAGCCAGGAATGATTTGGTATTCTAGTAGCAAAACTCTGGAAGATCGCTTTGAGTGATGTCGAAAGATAAAAGATTTGGTGTAATAATAGTAAAACCCTGCAACGTTCTTTTCAATAATAATGAAGGAAAGGATCGTGTCGGACGATATTGAATTAGAGAAGTTTTTCACTAATAATACTGAACGGTAAAGTGTGTAGTATTGATTAGTGTTGAGGGATACAAAATTCTATTTGATAGTACTGAAGTCAGATATATTCTGTGTTGAATAAAGTATGATTGCTTTAGTTTGGCAGAGTTTCTGAAGACTCTTTAGTTGAACAACTGAATCATCAAGAATGTATCCAGAGATAGAAATAGTTTCAGTATGGAACGGTCATGTAAGTACGAGAGCTATTTTATTGAAGTGAGTTTGTATATGCTCAGTAGTACTATCGCATTTGCTTCTGTTATTTTTTGTACTTAGTTACACGGTCTGATTCTAACATCAGATATGACTGTATTTCTTTGCAACTAAACAAGAAGCATTTGTTGCTTATTGAGTTTAACTAGAGAAATCCGTTACTTTGAAACATGATTCTGTTTCTTCAAATAGTTTTAGTTGTTTACCGATGAATAATGGTTGTATAGCTTTAGAAATGTTTAACTCTGCATTTATCAGTTACGATTTGTACTGGAACAGCGTCGTCTCAGCGATAAACAAAGACACTCGACATAGCTGCCCTATGAAATCTATGCAACACTTTCCGATTTGCTTTCTTGAGGGTGTGGGTGAGAGTATTACATTAACCTTATTGTAACACTCGCGCTTTCAAGATAGTTTATTTTGATTATAATTTTTTCTTTGAAACCAAAAGCGAAAAATCTTCTAAATAGTCAAGAAGTGAACTTTCCTTTTTTATATCGATGAGTTAAAGTTTCGAGGCATTCTTGAATTCGACAAGATATGCGAACTTTTGACTCCATACCTTAACAAAATAAGAATAATATAATTATCTTTCGACAAAAAATAGTTCGATCAACAACATGGCATTTGTTGTATTTTGACATATACTAAAGGTAACGAAATCAGATTTTATTGGATATGAAAGAGAAGAAAAATGCCAATTGATAAGGATTTTATATGTTTGTTATTTAAAATCATAGTTACCCTTTTCTTCAATTTGATTCACTTGTAAGAATAACATGCTTCATACAGCACGCGAAGCTTCAATGAAAAATCATTCTCGCTACTGTCGGTATTTTCTTTTAATATTGATGATATTAAATAAAAATCTCGTTACATCGGAATCGAATACTGAATGTCGATTTGATGAACAAGATGATAATATCTTTTGGATTGGTGAAACAATTACCGGTTTTGTTGATTTTGTTAACAAAGATAATACAGATTTAAAATTAGCACGTATTGATGGTGAATTAATTGGTGAAGTTGTTGCTCTAGTGAGAGTAGAAACCGAATCCGATGAGGTGGAAAAGGAAGAGGAAGTAAAAGAAATAATATTCAATCAAAAAATTCTCTTTCATCCACGTGATACAAAAGGTTCGTTTTCTGTACGACGTGGTAAACAAAGTTGGCCATTTCGTTTTCAACTTACTGAAGATTTACCACCATCGTTTGAACAAAAGAAAATTGACATAGTCAAAATTCATT